CCCTGAAGAAACGCATTATTCACATCAATCTGCTTTATATGCCAAGCTCTATTGACTGCGACTTGAAGAACTGCACGAACAGTGGTTGATTTAATGACAGGGCTAAACGTATCTTGATAGTCACGACCCTGTTGTTGATGGAAGCCACGAGCAACAAGCCTGGCCTTATACCTGTCAAGAGAGCCATCAGGTAAGTATTTTAGTGTGAAAATCCACTTACAGCCAACAACATTAGAAGCCATAGTAGGAGGAACCAATTCATGAGTCCCATTACGAATTTGAGCATTAATCTCCTCAGACATCGCTTGTCTCCACTTGGGGTCCTTCAACGCCTCAGCCACGGTCTTTGGGATAGAAGGTTTGGGAATTGACATCACATGGGCATATCGTTTAGTCGGCTTAACGATATTGTTTTTCAATCTCGTTGTCATGGTATGAGTGTTGTGAGGTAGCGGTGGAGGAATTGTGGAGATAGAGGTCTGGGAAGATGGAGAAGTAGCGAGAGAGGACGTGGAGTTTGAGTGGGAAGACTCTGTTTCAGTGGAGGAAGAAGACGGAGTGTGGCTCGAAGGGGTGGATATATTTGATGGGCTGGAAGTGTTTGTTGGGCTTGTGATGGTTACTGGGCTCGTGGTGTGTGAGGATAATTCAGGGTTTGGGCTTGGTGATAAAGTTGGGCCTGAATTGTTGGTAGGTGTTGATGATGATGAGTGAGGCGTTGAAGACGATGACGCCGGCGAAGGCGAAGACGAGGAGCTGTGATTGCTGTGCAGCGGTGACGACGGCTGGTGAAGGACCGGGGGTGGCGGCATGTGAGCGTGTACGAGTGGAGCTGGTGGTGACGGAACAGAGGCGACCAACGGTAGAGGCGACGGTGAACTCTGTTCTGGTGGCAGCGAAGCTTCTTGGGCAGCAAATGGAAACATCGTCTCCACAAATTGGACGTGTCGGGAGGTATAAACCCGACCGGATCGTGGTTCCAAACAGAAGTAGGCGCTCTGCGTGACAGAGTAACCTAAGAAGACACACGGTGCGGAGCGTGCATCAAGCTTGTTAGCGGTGTACGGTCTCAACCAGGGAAAGCACAAACAACCGAAAACCTTGAGTTTATGATAATTTGGGTCTGCTCCAAATAAGCGCCGATATGGGGAAGTATGATCAATAACAGGCGTAACCATCCGGTTGATGAGGTAGACGGCTGCTGAAAAAGCATAACTCCAGTAAATTGTCGGCATAGAAGCTTTGCTTAGAAGAGTGAGGCCAGTCTCCACGATATGACGATGCTTCCTTTCCGAAATCCCATTGTGTTCTGGAGTGTGTGGTGGTGTCGTGAAGTGAGAGATGCCATGAGAAGAAAGAAAGGGACGAAGTGCCACAAACTCTCCCCCATTGTCAGAGTACAAGGTACCCACACGGAGCTTGAACCGGTTTTCAACCAAGACAACAAACCGGCTGAATATTTCTTTCACCTGTGACTTCTGCTTCATCGGATAAAACCATACGTATCTCGTGTAATGATCTACCAACACGAGGTAGTACTTAAAACCATCAACCGAGAGGAGAGGTGATGTCCACACATCACTATAAATATATTCGAGAGGATGAGTGGAGACAACAGTGTTTGTATGGAAAGGAAGCTTATGACTTTTATTGATGTGGCAATCTGAACATATGACATGTTGTTGCGAAGAAGAAACAGGTAATGAAAACTTTGAAAGGAGACTTTTTAAGATAGGTAAAGCCGGATGACCGAGCCGTGAATGCCAACAGTTGAGATCAGCCTTAGCCATTGGAGAGGCAAAGAATGAAACCGGTTTCACAATGTTGACTGGCCACTCGTACTGCTCATCATTAGTCTTGCCGCGGACCAACCGGACCCCCGTGTTGAGATCCTTCACCTGAAAATGAGCCGGAAAGAATTCCACCGAGACACGGTTAGTATTGCATAAGCGATAAACCGAAATCAAATTCTTTTTAATATTAGGGACATAAAGAACATCTTTTAAAGCAACATCACGAGATGACGTAGGAAGAAAGGTGGAACCAGTTTGAGTAATAGGAAGCGTTGAACCGTCAGCAATGGTGATATCTTCTCCTCCATAGTACGGCTGATGGAGTGCTAAATTATTGAGGTCAGACGTGACGTGGTGAGTAGCACCACTGTCAAGGAGCCACGGGTTAGCACCATAACCAGATGCATGAACCATATTCGCCCTCGGCTGCCAAGGAGCGTACGGTTGTTGATGATTGGTGAATCCCACAGGCTGATGACGTTGTGAACAAGTGCGAGCACTATGCCCATGGATCCCACAAATTTGGCATTTTCCCTGGTATCCGCGAGATGATGTCTGCTGCGGCTGAGAACCATATGCTTGTTGTTGTTGCTGCCAATTCTGACCACGATAATTGTTGTTGGATTTGTTGCGCTGTTGATGACGATTGTGGTTGTTGGAGTTGTTGTTGTTAGACCCACGGTATTGCACAGCATTCGCCGTAACAGGAACAGAGGAATCCATCACCGCAGCTTGCACCTGAAGCGTAGCTTCATGATTAAGTAGCTTCTCATAGATCTCAGGGAGAGAGGGAGCCTTCTCAC